GTCTTTTCACTGTTAACTTGGGTAGAAGGTCAGGTGGAATGAGTGGCCTCTTTGATTTTCCTTTGATAGGATTTCATCTCTGTTTTTGGTTGGTTGTAAAAACATTCTTATAAGATCCCTCCTTCTTTTCTCTTTCTTCTAAATTCCTCTCCCTAAATCCTTTTCTCTCCTACCCTTTTATATCAAACTGATTTTCCCCATAACTTGGAGTGCTCAAGGGTGACAGGAATCCAGAAGCTTTGATGAGACAGAATGACTTTCATAGTAAGATTTAGATGGTGCAAGGACCTGTTACTGAACAGCAAAGATATTTCAGTCCCCTAAGCACGTCCCCATGTCCACCTGTTCAGACTTACTAACTCTGGACACCTTCTAGACGGCCTGCCGCCACCCCATTTGCAGTCTTACCATTCCATTTTTCTCTAATGCAGGTTCTGCATTCCTAGAGGGGCTTTTTTTTTTTTTTTTTCATTTTTGGTACTTTTGAAAGTCCCCGAATGGATCTGTATTCAACTTTTGGGGGGCCAGAGAAGCTTTCATGTTTTCAGACAAATGGTTCTGCTTTGAGGGAGACCAATAATTGCTGTTGGAATGTACAATGCAAGAACATTTCCTTAATGTTGAGAAGACCTCATCAGAACTTGCAGAAAAATGATGAATGTGGGGAATAAGGATAATATAGCAACAAGTTCTGCTATACAGCAATGTTTAAAGGGTTAAAAAGATGTTTGTAAATTAGGCAGCAGCTCAGAAGTAGCCTCCTACAGATATCAAGATGTGATAGAACTGGAAGCAAAGATTAGCTATTTAAGCAAATAATTAGGACACGATTAAGGCCAATTTGGCCTCTTGCTGAGGGTAAATTAGACTCTTAGAGAAACAGTCCAATTGCCCTCAGGAAAGAGGGTAAAGGATCCTTTACTACGTCCTTTTGAATTTCATCTGATCTAGTTTGCTCCCATAGAAGTGCAATGACTAAGTCTCTTTACAAGACCTGAGTTACCGATCAAACATTTCCCATAACAGAGAAAGGGTCTTCACCACCCTCTTATCCAACTTTAATTCTGGAACACCTCACATATTAATAAAACATGAAAGGAGCATGCTTCCATGAAGATACTAAACTTATTTTTGGTGTCTCTCACTCGTAATAGTCTAAAGAGATGTTGCTTCATGGACACGTTTTGGAAGCGTAAGTGTTCCAGGGCTTGATGTTGGCAGGCGTTTGCTATTAGACATGCACACAGGGTGCCTGATCATTCTCCAGCTGAGCGTTCACCAATCCATGAAGACAGTTTTTGGCCATTTCTTACAAAAAGCAGGACCCATTCACTGAATTCAGTGAGACTATGGTCAGGTAATGCCACATGGTACTTTGCTCACACAAAATAGGACCACTCTGAGGGGTGGTGAGTAGTAATACAAACAGATTCCTAAGGATGACCTCTGAAAATACAAAATTAAATTCCTCGAAGATTTTATTAGTATAGGGACTGTCACTCGTAATTATAAACCCTACAAAGATTCTTGTAGAATGATGACTGGTAGCCTAATTTTAACTCTAGTGTACTTTCTTCTTAAACATCTTTCAGAGTCACAGGCCACTTCTACCAGCTGCCAAACTAACCAGACCTCAGAGATGGATGGATGTGTGTGTGTGTGCGCGCGCGCGCGCGCGTGTGTTGTCCATTAAGTCAAATAATTAAATAGCTAGGGCTTCCCTGGTGGCGCAGTGGTTGAGAGTCTGCCTGCCGATGAAGGGGACACGGGTTTGTGCCCCGGTCCGGGAGGATCCCACATGCCGCGGAGCGGCTGGGCCCGTGAGCCATGGCCGCTGAGCCTGCGCGTCCGGAGCCTGTGCTCCGCAACGGGAGAGGCCACGACAGTGAGAGGCCCGCGTACCGCAAAAAATAATAATCATAATAATTAAATAGCTAAACCTGCTATAAAAATTAAGCATTTCAAGGAGGATTAAAAAGAGCCTTTAATTTTGGATAACAGAGTTATATCTTTTGCTAATCTAAATAAACAAGTAAAATAGATAAATCAGTTTGAGGGAAAAGTCCATTTCTAAGTCAAATTATTTTTAAATATTATTGGACATGTTCCACATTGTAAGCCTCCTTCCATTAGTGTACATAACTGTATTATCTGGGCCCATTAACATGCTTCCCTGTACTCTATTTTAGTTGCTCATATTCCTGAAGGGAAAGGTTAAAATGTACCAAGTTAAAAAAAAAATTGGCACGAAATCAAGTTGTCATCTAAAAGCCCCAAAGAACTCTGCTTAATTAAAATACTCTCAAGAAATGAGCATTTGTTAAAGAAAATTTGTCTCATATTTCTTATTCCTTCTTTTTGAAAAATGACAGAATAGGATTTAACCATATATTTAACTCAAGATAACATATTTAAAGCAGATCTCTTCTGGGGCTTTCTCTGTGCGAACCACAGCAAAACATGAATGAAACAAATCCAGTCCTGAGTAAACCGGAAATCACAGGAGATTATGGAGAAATTCAGGCACTTGCTGGCGAGGGCACAAAGAAACCCTAACTCACGAAGAAAACCCTTCACTGTTTAGGGCCAGCAGGGCTCTCAGTAACATGCTTTCTGTTTTCTCACTAAGGTCTGTCTGCTGCCACCAAGAGACAGCAATGACACATGTGGCCATCTGGGACATGCCTGACTTCCCAATACCACTTGGAGCTGGACAACATTTGACACGAACCAATCCTACTGCACAACACCCTCCGAGGACTCAAAATACACTTATGCTGTAAATCATTTAAGCTGTGCCTCTCTCTCTAAGGCTGCTCTTGGGAAAGAGGAAAGTGAGCTGCGAAGAGAGAAACGGCAACCATATATGGGCACCAGGCATCCACGGGGCTGAAGGTCCGCATTTCCCTCAGTTGGGCTGCTTAGGTCGAAGAGCCTCAAACCCAAAGTCTGCACAGATCTTTGAAATATGTCCAGAAATGCATCTTAAGTTGGGATCTTTTTTTAAGAAAAACAGCAACATTAATAAAAGAGGTGGTGTGGTCTTTCTGTGACCAAGTTTTTTAAGGAACTTGGACATTTAGAAGTTATTATGGACAGTAAGCAAGTCCCAGGAATAGGGATGTCCCAGGCTATGAACCAAGCCATGACAATATATAAAGTGGGAGGAAGGCTTAAACCAGAACTTGCCTAGGCAACACGGGATGTACTAACTCCCAGGCAGACTTCACACCTCAGTCTTGACCTTCATGAAATATTTTCTTCTGAGATTAGCTGTAAATGAGTATCTTTTCCCTCCTCTGAAGACAAGGAGTATGGCAGAGGATGAAACAAAAGGCACAAGAAATCTGTTTCTAAGGTATATAAACATCCCAAGTGCCAATTCATAGGCAATTAGCACCTTGATTAAAGAGGAAAGGGCAAGAAGTAGGATTTCAATGTTCAGATACACATAATGTAAGAACAGTCAGTATGTGGTACTTGATGGCAACGGCAGGATGGTGTCAGAAGTCTCATTTCTTAAAAGGCTTGTTTGAGTCCTATGTAGAAGCAAAATTTCACACGTGAATTTCTGGGTGTTTCCCAAACTCTAACTAGGTTTCCAGGAATAATGTGTCCCTTCTGAGTATCAGGCCATGCCTCCTTTCCCCAGGCTTCAAGTGTGGTAAGTCATTGGAATTTGACCCCAAGACTATCTGCAAATGACACAGCACTTTATCACATCCCTGCTGAATTCCACTAACAGCCAGACCTCCACAAGACTAGGTTTTGTTAAAGGAATATGAACGAGGCTCATACTCCGTGAAAAAAATTAACCCTAATCCTAGAAAATCAAAGTTTTGACCCAGTGTTAAGATTTATTTGCATAGTTAGGCAAAATACTTTAATTCTAAGTTTCCTCTTACCACTCCACTCTCATTTTGTTTTGTATAGACATTCTCTCCCTTTTTTTTCCCCTTCAATTTTACTGTGTATATGTGGACAGGAACAAAGCTCCAGAAAAGTCTTAGTCTAAAAGTTTGACAATGAACTTGCCCCCCGCAGTGCCCCTACCCCCAACAACACTGGAGAACTTGTCTGTTACACATAGATACAAAAGAAGTGAAATACTTTTTGAAACTGCTGCCTCATTCAGGCTGAGATGCAATAAAAACACAAGTCTAAGGTACAAAGATTATATTTAACCAGTGCTTTCCTGGTGTTTTAACAAGCCCCTTCTAAACTCCAGTTCTTTTACACTTGGGAAAGCAGCAAGTCCTATGACAGACCCAGAATTCACTCTAGGGAGAAAATCAATAGTAGGTCTGTCTCTTTGAACTCAACACCACAGTAAGGGGGCGGAGGATTGAAATACTCTACTAGATTTCCCCACACCTCTGATACTGAACCACTGGCTAAATCCATGAACCTTATTCTTCCACCATCGAAATCAAGAGTGGACAAAGCTCTGCTCTCTTAGCTTAGAAGAAAAGGGGACTAATATTTACTGTTTTCCATCCCAGGTGGCTACACATCAGAATCCTCTGGAGCTTAAAAACACAAAGAAACCTGGCCACTCTCCCCCGCCCCCGCCCCACTACCAAATTAGAATTCTTTTTGGAGGAAGCGGACCTTTATTTTTTTTTTAAGGAGATTCACATGGGTTTTGTTGAGAACTACTGATTTATTGAGTCATTACTCCACACTAAGAACTTTGCCACATATTTCACATAGTATTTTATTTGTTTCGTGACTGAATTCAAACAGGTTCAATCACAGAACCTACGTGGTGGCCAAAAGAGAGCAGGAGTTCACCACGGAGAGATTCTAAAAGCCTGCCTTTCCAGTGTGCTGACCCACAGTTCTTACCCATTCTGATGTCTTATTTCTCACCTTGCTGCTCTTCGTACTGGACCCTCTATCTGACTCCTCCGGATTAAGTTACAGGTGAATCCTCCATCACCCAAGTCCAGAACAACACAGACATGTGCACAGAACCTCACTGCCCGCCCCCCCCAAGAATTTATTTTTCCATTCTTGTCACCACAAATTCCTTGTTAACAACACAAAACTCTTTCTTGTAATTTAAACAAAACTGAACCCATAATTCTCTCCTAGGATGAATATTATGACATAAGGATAATACCAGGTAAGTGCACAAAATGACAAAAGATGCAAAATTAACTGAAGTGTTCATCCTTCCTGAAATGTCTCTTAAACAGCAGAGAAGCAGAAGCAATGCTGACACCTAGTGGCAACCCAAACAAATCATTCCCAATCAAGCCCAACATTTGGCTTCCCCACCTAGTATCAGGCCATCTAGGCCTTACCTTCCTGGAAAAAAAAAATTCCCAGCAACACTTCCCAAGCAATCCCTCCTCCAGACTCCCAGTCCAATCATGAGAATACAGCAACCAAAGTCTGGCCTGCGAAACAGACTACCACATGAAACTTTCCTCTGACCATTTTAAGGTCAGTTTGCTCAGTCCTAAGGCCCAGATGACACAGAAGGTAGACATATCCAAAATGCGCATCTGTTCAGAGTGTGTACACAGTAATTCTGATGTCTGTTGCCTCAAAGACCTCCTCAATCATCGCAGATACATTTTCCCATTGCAGACGATCAAGACCACATCCAATCCTGAAAAAGACAAAACATCCCCACTGGTTGTGATGAAGGTATCTAGGAAAACACTCCTTCCCTCTTCCTCTAGGCTGCATCCACCCAAAGCCTAAGATATCATCTAGTCTCACACCTATAGGCAGCCATGGTGGGAGTTGGGAAGTTAACTCCTATTGTGAGTCACCTAAGGCTGTTTCCTAGACAGCCCTAACATCCAACAGCTGTCACTTCTCTTTTGCCTAATAAAGTACCACTTCCCAGTTACTTCAGGCTACGTTTAGAAATGTATAACTGCCGTGAGATGGAAGAACTTACTATCCTTCTATTTCTACTGATGAAAACTAGCTGTGGGTGGATGGCAAAAGGTTGGTATTTTTAAAATACACTTATGATAATGAAATGTTAAGGAAGATAAAACAGAGAATGACAAAGGACAGGATCTCTGCACACAGGAAGTCAAGAGGGAATGTTGGGAAATGCCAAGCTGATTGTAATTCGGATCTTTGCAGCACTCTGGTGAGAAACCCCAATCGGCCCACAAAACTCTTACTACCTGGCACCTTTCTTCCAAGATGTTACTTAACTGATCCTCAATATCCCTAGGGAAAAGAGATGCTTAACACTGATAATTATCTATAAATGTGGTTAAGTACCTGAAAAAATTGTGATTAAAAAAAAGTTTCTGGTACATAAGCAATGAACATATTAAAGACCAGCGTAAGATAAGGGACCATGTAGCCACGCTCGTAAGTAACTTGGACCTTGGAATAAACCTGCATGCATGCTCAGCAGTGACAAAACTAGTCTGACAAGAAGAGAAGAGACTCCAAGCCTATTTCCTGAAAAGGAAACAAAGGGGATATTGAACCCCTAATGTCAGTCCCTTAAGTTCCCAATATCTAGGGTCTAAGACATTACATAAGGGACCTATCCTCTGGCTATTGTCCACACTGAACACAAACAAGCAGCAGTTTAAAAAGCAGTGGTAACTTACAACTTTCTTCACACAGAATTAACAGGTTTGGGACACCTGAAGTGGCCCAGAGAGAAATCACAATTGCTCAGTCTTTGTTCTTTAGCTGCATTGCTTCAGAAAGAGAGGCCAGGCTTCAGGTAGACGATGCCCAGAATTCAACAAATGTCTGTGAACAATGGTTCCTCCCTACTAAGTAGGCTGAGGCAGGTCTGTGGTTTAATCATCCTGATTCATTCAGCCCAGGCTAAAAGACGGGCACGCCTTAGGCTAAGATCTGAACTTGTTTACTGATGATTTTTTAAATGTTTTGAAATTTTTCCACCTTTAAGTCTGTATTTTAGGTTACATTAAGCTTTTAAGTCACTTGTCTTTGGGTAAGACAGTAAACCCCACTAATCAAGTCTTCATTTAGGGCCCTGGATTTCCTTGCCTTGGCATGGAGAGGTCGGTGACTCCATTCTTCAGACAATGGGACTTCATGGCCTCTAAACTCTTCTGTAAGTTTTCATAAGTTGGCTTGTGTGAAGCCCTTTTCTTTGTAATCTAAGCACAAAGAACGAATTCAAATTTCCATTAGTCCAAAATGAGAGCCAAAGAAAAGTCATCATATTCTCCCAACATTCTGATAATTAAAACAATAAGTATATTTTTATAGAATAGTCTAAATGACAAATGTCATACTGTCCCTTCCAGTTACGGGAGCTCCTCAGGAATCCACTACATAGAGCCTGAGAAACCCAGACACTGCCATATAATAATCTTTCCTTTTCCCAAGAAAACCAGATTAGCAGGTATGCCTATTGTCTACCGTTTTTAAATAGGTGAAAGTTTCTGTGCCACTTCCAAGAGATAAGCTGCATATCTGTAACAAGGAAGAATCCATAACACCTAAAAATTTCCTGTTAGGTTTATTTATTTAAAAACTGTGCTTGCCTTTTATTTCCCTATAAAAGAACAGAGAAAAACTGGTAGCATTCCAAACAAGACTGGAAGTCACAGTAGCATTATGGACATTCAAAGAGGCTAGGACATGTCCCCACTCAGCGTGCTGTCCAAATCAGGCTTGTAGTCACTTGGCTATAAGTCATCCAGCACCATTGCCAAGAAGCTGCACTCTTTCTGAAGCCAAAGACCATTTGGATAGTGGAAGAATCCCACACTGAGAAAGCAGGCAGGAAAGGAGATGAGTATTACCTGGCACTGCATTTGATTGGGAAGACTGAGAGAAAAACTCCTTTGGGCAATCTATCTCTTGAGACTTTATTGTCTCTATCTTACTATGATCAGGAAGGAATTAAACTATGGGAGGCATCCCTAACTTTTCCAAGTCTCATAGCACAGGTCTTTGGTGAATATCACTACTCTTTCCCATGGAGCTGGGATGCAGCCTCATGTTCCTTTCTAATCCAGTGCACCAAATAGCCACCACTTCTGGATCTGAGTTGGCATGAAGTCAGTTTTTTGACATCTCTGGTTGTCTGGAATGAAACACTGTGATCAGCATAAATGCAGTACAGCCCATTGGTTTACCAATCCTTAGAACTTATTGAGAATTGGCCCCATCTTACCAGGTAATATATATATCGCCCATCTCTCTTCAGAACAGCCACTTCTCCAGACTTTTTTTCTAAGGAAAACAGTTATTTAATAGTAAAAAAAGAAAAAGAAAACCAAAACACTGATCTCCATTCTTAGATTTTAAAAAAATCTTTATAAATTTGAGTCTACTTCAGAACTAGAATTAATTTTCAACCCTGAAGAACACTTTGATACTTATCAGCCTTCCTAAATACTGTATTCCTTAACTTCCAGCTTTCTTATTAATGTTTTCTGAATCATGTTTTCCTCACACCCCATCTTTGGTACTGCTGCATTTTCAAATATACCCTTGTTCACTTAAAAAACTTTAATGTCTATTGCCATGAAATGTTTTAGAATGCACAGCACTTTTTACTTGCCAAATGTGTTTAATAATAATCGTTTTACAAACAAAAACAGCTAATGCGTTAAGCATTAAGGGGAACATAGATGTATTAAAAAGTTCTTAATTATTAAAGAGTTTTCAATCAGGAAAACATGTCATGTTTAGAAATAAATATAATACAAAGCAGTAAGAAGTTGCTTTCTTAAAGGCTGGGATTAGAATCACCAGTGGAAACTTTGATTCAGTAAGCCTGGATTGTGGTCTGAGCAACTGTTTCAGAAGCCCACGTGTGATTCTGATACTCATCTCTGGTTTAAAATCACTGGTAGAAAGTGATGGGAGGAGTCTGTAAGGAAAAGGTTCTAAACTCTTTGAAGCATAAGCACAATATGGGTAAACAGAGGATCTTGAATGCCAAGCTAAAATCTGTGGACTTTGCTAAGCACTTCAGAGTTATTAAAGGTTTCAGAGAAACAGAAATTATCAAGAAAGATTTATAAAAGAGGGGGAAGAAATTTAAAACTTTTACAAGAATTCAGGTTTCTTGTGATAAGGACCCAAACTAGAGGCCATGTTTGTAGAGGAAAAACTTAATCTGCAGAGTTAAAAGGACTCAGTAGTTAGGAACCCCATCTGTGCATGTATATCTTGTTTAATAATTAAGTATAACAAGAGCATCAAAAGATGCTCTAGCCAGGGCAGATAAGTTCAGCTGTTTTCAAAACTCACGTTGATTTAACAGTTCCTGCACCCCTCCAAATTTCTTCTTGAAGTGAACAGCTATCCCAGCGCCCATTCGACAGTCCTCACTGATACAGTGGGCTAAGGAGTCTGTTTTGGGGCATGCAAAAAGATCTCCTTTCACATAAGTAATCTAAAATGTGCAAAGGGAAAGAAAAGTTTCATTAGTGACAGAAAAATACTAAGCTATTTCTTTTCCTTTACTGTGCCCACCACCACTTCTCCGTCCCTCCTTCATTTCAAGACAAATCCTCAGAATTTAAGGGGTTATCTAAAGCGAATTCAAGCATGTGCATAAGAAAGTGATGGGTGGTCTCTGCCTAGGACTGTATCAGCCTTTCTAAAGTAAATCAGCAGGAGAGAGAAAGACAATTCAATTATTGGTTTAATTAAAAAGTGTTTATGCTTTTGACCTAAATTAGTCTGAATTTCAGTTCACCAGTAAATTAATAGTTGTTACGCACTCTGCTTCCTTCTGAATCTTCATTAGGGCTGCCAGCCATGATACTGAGTCGCTATTTCCAGAATTTAAGTGTTTCTTCAACTATAAAAAGGGGAAAGGAAGTAAAAATACTTAGGCAACCTGAATATATTACGTTCAGACTGCCCTGACCACCCACGTACAAACATGTTCCCCCCACCGTTTATCGCTGAAAGTAAGTTCGCCTCTAGGGAATAATGCAAAACTCTTCTCGGGCAAGAAAAAGAGAGAATGCCTCGTTTCGGAGGCGGACGGACCCCGCTCGCATTTCGCGCTTTCCTGGAGCGGAAGAAAGGCGGTCCTAGGAGCCGCCTCCTCCTTTCCCCGCGCCCGCGCCGAGTAAGGCTGATTCAAGATAGTCTCCTTTTCCCTGCAAGATGCAAAAGTATTTCCCCATTGGATTTGGCCCAGAAGCAAAAAGGTGGGACTTGGCCACAGTCCCGTTAAGCTGCATCTAGGGAGTATACTGGCCTGGGGGAGTGTACTGCCGAGGCTGGGGCAGGTGGAGAGGGAAGGCCAGCCTCTCAAGGAAGGCTCACCCCCATCTTTTGGGGGGAGCTGCGGGAAGAAGTCTAGAGAGGCCTCCCATTCTTTGTTTCCTACCCTAGGCCGGATCAGCAAGGGCGTGGGGCCTGTCCCGGGGTCCCGTGGTAGGGAGCTGGGAGGCTCGTGCAAAGCCCCAACGTACCGGGGTTACCCTTCACCTGGAAAGGAGTCGGCCGTTAGGAGGTCCCGCCCCGCGGGGAAAGGCTCTGGTAGGTGGGGAGCAGGAGAAGAGCCCAGATGTGGAGCCAATCCCGCCAAAGCTCTTAATTGCACGCACCTAAGATGGCCGCCCACCACCTGGGAGCGGGGCGGAAACGAGCCCCTCTAGCTAGCTAGCCGGACCTGCACTCTTTGGTGATGGCCGCCGAACTTCCGTTGGTAAATTCCATAGAGTGCCCCGCCGCCGCCCGGGCATGCGTAACGAGATAGCGAGTTGGGTAGAACGGCGCTTGCGCATTAGCCCCAGGAGCGTGTCTCCAGGGGCCGCATAGACGTGGGAGGGCAGTTGGCAAAGGAGTTAGTTAGCGCCTGCGTGGTACTATGCTCAGGGCGGTGTTTGAAGGTTGAAGGGTTTAAGGGTCTGGCGTGTCTAGAAGGCGCCTGCGTATTCCTTCGGCCGGGGGTGTGATCCAATCAGGGAAGTGGGCGTGGCTTCAGGGGACGCCTGAGCAGTCCTCCTTCAACTGGGGGGTGGGGCGAGCCCGAGCTCGGGTTAGGGGGCGTGGTCTCAGAGGCGCCTGCGCGGAGGCAGTTGGAGGGAGGCCCGATTCCCCTTTGTTCGGCTTCGCCATTTTGCTAGGCAGCGGCAGTGGCGGCGGCAGCGGCGGCTGGAGCCTCTGATTGGGTTTCGGGGTCCGGTACTGGAGCCAATCAGCGCGGGCAGCGAACCGGGGGAGCGAGGCACGGTGAGTGTGAGGAGCCAATATCCAGCGGCCCAGAGCCGGCCCCAGCGCCCCGATTGGCGGGTCTCGCTGACCACTCAGGAGAGGCCCAGGCGCCCGTCGAGCCCGGGGAGTCGAGCTGAGCCTAGCCGAGCTGGGCTCCCGACGGCCCAGGCTGGAGCCTGCGAGCGCCCCGGGGCACTCCCGGCCGAGGCCTGCAGGGGGCCGCCCCGCGCGGGGATGGCGCCCTCGGGAGCAGGCATCTCGGGGTCCAGAGCCTCGCAGGGTGCCAGAGCCAGTTGGGGATGCGATGCGTCCCCGTCCCCCCGACCCTTAGGCACAGCTTCTCAGGCCCCCAGGCCGGGGGGTGTTGGGTTTGTCTGCCACCAAGGCCCCTAAGCTCAGGTACACACACACACGTGGGCCCGGGGCCTTGGTTTCCTCCTGGTCCTTCCGGCCTCACAGTTAAGCCCGCCCTTGCACTCAACACGCTCTGGCCCTCGGGACGGGAAGTCTCCCCCCGCGGGGCCCGCGCACCCCACCCCTCCGTGAGCGGGTCTGTCTGTCTGCAGCCCTTCTGGGTCGGGAGGCAGGCCCGGGGAAGACGCGCGCCGCAGCCGTCGGGCCCCGCGTGCAGCGCGGAGAGGGGGTGGGCCGAAAGGGGGGCCCCGCCGTCCCCGCTGTCCCCCTGATCGGTGGAGGGGATCCATTAGTGCACCCACTCCCCGGCCCCGCTGCGCCCCACCTCCCAGCACGCTCGGCCCGGGTCTCCGGTCCGGCGCCGTTACCACCCCCTTTTGGCTCGTCATTTCCTCTCTTCCCCGCCCCGATCGCCGGGCAGAACTGCACACCTCCGTCTTGGAGCGCAACCAGGCGGTCACCGGTCCTTGCCCGGGCTGTAAGGCCTGTCCATTCGGTGCCTGGAACCTCACTATAGAAGGTGGCGAGCCCTGTGCATTCCTTTTCCCGGAGGCTGCACAGTTTGCTTTCATTAGTCTTATCTGTTGTTTTTCATCTTGTGAATTCTCGCTCCCTTGGGAATGCACAATTATTTTCTTTTAACCTTTCTGTGTCACTTTGAACGTGTCAGGTTTCACTCATTAGCTCAGTCCACAGCCATCTCTTGGTTTGTTTTTTTCCAGTATGTTGATGTTTTCTCAGCAGGTATTTATAGAAACGTAACAGTCTTGTGGGGTTTTGTTTAGGGTGAAAGGAAATCTCCGTTGACAACCAAGTATCGAACAGTTAGTATGTACCAGGCGTCCATCTGTGTGCTGGGGAGGGAGTGGTTAGAGGTCGATAAGAACCTTCCCAGCCTGGTGGAGATTGACAGGTGAACAAGTAATTAATGTCTCACGGTTAGTGCTGTAACGGGGCCAAGTTCAGTTCTGTGGTGCACTGATGTGTGAGCTACCAACAGCCCCGGTGGAAGGCCAGCATTGCCACACTTTTGATTGGCCTTGAAGGATAATGGGATTTCTTCGGACAAGAAAGAATGGAAGAGCATTGCTCACAAAGAGAAAAGCAAGTGCAGAGGCACCAAGCTTTGCTGTGTGTTCAAGGGGGAAGAAAGTATAGGGCAGTGGGCAGTTGCCGTGAGAGTTTAGGCTGGAAAGCCCAGTTGGTAAAAACACTTGTATATCTTGTTAAGGAATTTTTCGGAAGCAGTTATTTTGTGGAAATTCGGATAGGAGAAATCTAGAAACACACTTTTTTCTCAGATTGGAAAAATAAGTTTCCGGCTTATGGGGTTCTGCTCCACAATAGCAGCTGACTTTGGGGGAAAAAGGAAAATTTTTCTCCTAGGACTTTAAAAGTTTTTACTCATGTGAAGCACCGAGTGCAGCAGTCCTTGCCACATAGAGTAGGCCTTTAGTATAGTCACAGTTACTAAGGTCATACAATTGGCAGGTTGCAGAAAACTACTCCTGAGGAGTAGTGCCCTTTCCACTACTGAAAATTTGGGGACAGTTTTTGTTTTCACTTTTTGTAATGAGTTTTTCATTGTTTAAGTCATTTTTTAAATTTATTTAATTCTTAAAATATCTAACAGATGGAGCACTGTGGTTTAGATATTTTTTAGAATGTTTACATTTGCCTTTGGACTGGATGAATACCTTGGTACTTAAAAAGGGTTATATCTAGTCACTAAAACACCAGCAAACATTTTTGCTAGACTTCTTTCTAAACGACACTTATAGTCTGGTCACTTTTTTGCTAAACCCTTCTAGAGACTCCACCTATCTGCAGAAAAATTTAGCCTGGAATGTTGAGATACAGTAATCTGGCCTTAGCTTTCTCTTGACTTGTGGCCTTGTATACACTGTTCATATGTGGAAATTTTTCTCTCCTTGTTTTTATGCTCTATCCTCATTTGGAGCACTCCATTCCCTCCCACTTCATCACATATATAAATCCTGCTCATGCTTAAGACCAGGTCAGATGCCACATTTTTCTAAACCCTTCTTATTGATCCCCAATTGGAAGAACTCTGTGTCCTCCATACTCCCATATTACTTTGTTTTTCTCTTAGGGGTTCAGTACAGATTTTTACTCCTTTACTAAATTTAAAGACTCTTTGAAGTTAAAATCTTAGTCACAGTTTTATTTCTAAAACCTTCAGGACGGTGTCTGACAGGTGGTACTCATCATTAGTGGAGATTAAGAAGCAAATTAGGAACTGCAATCCAGAACCTTTTGGATGATGGGGAAGCTGGACAGCCCTTTGTTCTCTAGTCTTTTATCAAACACAGATCAGAACCTGTTTGTTGAGTTGTGAAGTCAATTTAGTGGGCCAATGCTGGTAATTTTTTACAATAGAATAGAAAATATCACAGTTCATCTTATGTTATGAAGGTAAGTATTCATGAAACTTTTGGTTACTTTTTTAATATGTTGCATGTGCATTTGTGATGTGAAATGTTTTTCTTACTGTGAGTTGTCAACAAGGTTTGAAAGCTGCCGTTCTAGCTTTTACCTGGTAGTGATTGTCAAATATGATAATTCTATGGGGTCTTTCACTTGCTTATAGTTGAGTTTCTGGAAGTCTTAGCTTTAAAATAAAAATGTGTGTGGTTCCACAATGAATGGATTCCTAAGTAGTTAGCTGCATTTCAGGTTCTGCGGCTTGAAGTGAAGAGGAAGGGAAATTTTTTTGCTAACCGGAATAAACATACTCACGTTCTCTCTTTGAGGAAAAAACATTCAAACTTTGAGTTAGGAGTGAGAGCTATAGACAGACTAGAGCTGGCTGGCTTAATTCTGTTAGAATGTGGCCGAAAGGCACTTGAGGAAAGACGACGATGCTTGCAGTTCTGCTAATTGAAGCTCACAGTAATGGGAACACGTGGCTTCGTAGAAGCCAGTTGCACCCAGCCTTCCCCATTAGCAGTCTCAATGCCATGCTCCACGCTGAATCGCTCCCTCGTTAATATGACAGAGAATTGCTGTTAGACTTGAAGCTGCTTCCTTTTGACCCTTCAAAGTATAGTGGATTTAAGTGTTTTTAAATTGAAGCATTTGTATTACCAGGTTAAACTAGTTAAGAAGAAAATCTGCGTGACGTTTTATTAGTCATTTCCCTGCACTTCCAGTGCGATGTAAACTTCCGGAAATTAGTGGTCAAGGAAAAAGTCTTATACAGGAAGGGGATTTGGGGTGGGGTGGGTTGTTAAAATATGGAAGACATTCCTTCCTGATCCTTATTTTTTTAATCAACTCTTTTGAGATATAGTTTAGACATAAAGGATAATCATTTTAAGTGTACATTTTGATGAATTTTGACAAATTTACACACCTATGCAACCACCAACACAGTGAAAATATAAAACATTTTATCACCCCAGAAAAGTTCCAAATGCTCTATTCCAATCAACTTCCCTCTTTCCCCTCTTCCCTCTTTTCCATTTCCAGGAAACCACTGATGTGCTTTCTCTCTTAGATTACTATTACCTATTCAGGGTTTCATATAAATGAAATCACACCACTGCTTTGTATCATGACCCTTAATTTTTAATTTTATTAGTTTAGAAATATAAATGTATTGTGTAGATTGCAGTTAGAGACAAGATAGAGTTCAGGGAAGACCATTCACTTCCCTGGAAGAGCCACTTACGTCTGGCTGCAAATCTGATTTTCTGTACTGTTCCCAGAATCTCTCAGGAGCCAACTGAGTCACCCAATTCAGAAGAGACATAAAAATCAGAAAGCCAGTTTTTCAGTATGCAATGAGAAATAACTATCAAGCTTACTTGTGTTTCTGATCATATCTGCTCCCTGTTGGCTACTGTATATGTAAATCCAAATTATAGCTAGATGTGTGCTTGGTGAGCATTCCATTAGAGCAAGGGTAGTGAGTTGAAGAACCACATCGCCACACACCATCATGCTGTGATGACACAGTCATCCTGTCACTTGTTTATAACTCTTACACTCTTATACTACATACCAATCTGGTTATGAGTAATAGGCTCAATCGATTTTTATTAGATTTTCCTCCCAACATTTTAGTATAAAAATTTTCAAACATACAGTAAAGTTGAAAATGTTTTACAATAAACACCTATATACCCTTCATCTAGAGTCTACTGTTAATGTACTATACTTGCCTTTTCAGAGAGATACCTATCTATATCTATCTCTCCACCTATTCATCCATCAATATACTTCTTCCTAATATTTGGGCATGCACTTGAATATATTTTGATTTCTTCACATCACATTGAGACACCTTACAATCATGGTGGGTGATTCATATCATCCACCATGTGTGGATCTGTGGAGAGTGGTGCACTGCTTTGCTGCTGTGATGGGCAGATCATGTAACTCACATAACTTTGTCATTCAAATTTTAGAATTCATGAAGGCCTGGAGAAAAGTTTGGGGAAAGATTTATCTACATTTTGCTTATATACAGCTGTACCTCCCCCATGTTTCCAAGGTGAATTACCCTTTGATAATTTATATAATTTTAAATTTTTGAATCAGGTCTTTATTCAAGGTTCTCAAATATCACTTCAGTTTATCTAATTGTGTGCTTATTTCAAAAAGGAGCTTTCAGCTGTTAAAGTGTATGAGAATATAGTAAATTTGGGCATTGACTGCATATTTGATATTAAGAGCTTACAAATTTTTTAATGTTTTGAAGTAATTGTAGAGGCACAATGTCATTGTGATAAAACGATAAAGAAAAGAATCTACTCTTTGGAGATAGATGCTGACGTATTTTTGGAGTTTGGGGTAATAAAGTGTCTGGGATTTGCTTCAGAATAATGCAGGGGTGGGTGGAAAGTGGATAAGATATATGTGGAATAAGATTGACCATGGGTTGAAAATTGTTGAAGTTGGGTAATGGCCATAGGGGTTCATTATAATGTTCTCACTATTTTGATACATTTTTGAAAATTATCATAGTAAAAGTTAAAATTATACAATAAAGGGTGGGGTATTATTAGGCATTCAGATTCGTGACTGAGGAAAACTTAAACTCTTTTCAGAGAAAATCCTAGCCTGCTGTTTCTGTCATTCCTTTTTATTCCTTGCTCTGGATTAAAACGCAAACTCCTAAACCTTTGCTCGGTCTTTCTTACTTAACAGAACTTAATGGAGATTTTGATAAGCAACGTGTTTGACTTCAGGTCTGGGTAATTACTTACCAAATAATAAACCCTGAAATTTTAAATTGCTTACCATATGTAGTGCAAATGTGTTACAAATTAAAGAAACTGTTCTCTAAAGTACACGTGCAGACCTGAAAATCAGTGTTAAATAGGCCTTGTAACAAAGTGATGTTGTAGCTTAATGAGAATTTCTTAAGTGTTGCTCTAGTAGTATTGAAAGGAAAGTTTGCTGATGAGAAATGACAAAGCATTTTTTACATAGGTTAAGCATCTGGTGAAGCCTTTATTAACAATCTCACTTTACTCTTCCTACCTTTCTAATAGGAGTGCATCCTGAAGTCTTCTAGGATCTCCAGAGTGAAACTCACTGTGGTCAAGACTCTAACTTGGAGGGACCATGGAACAGTATACAGCAAACAGCAATAGTTCAACAGAGCAGATTGTTGTACAGGCTGGACAGATTCAGCAGCAGGTATGGAAGTAAAACTGCTTTAAACATCACAGCAAAAGAGCTGATAATAGCACTGCTCAGTAGCGGAACTGAGAGGTCTCAGATCTTATAAGAGTGGGTCTGGTGACTTGTGCTGAAGTGCTTTTCAAAGGTTGGATTTTTTGCAGTTTCTCTCATTTTCTCTGTTCAGAAGTCTATATCCAGTCCATAACCACTTAGAATTTGATTTCATGGGAGCCTGGTTTAATAGTAAATTGCCCCCTTTTATCATATTAGAAATCAAACACCTAGTCTGTTTTCAGATGGAATTATGGAGGGTTTTTTTTTGTTCTTCCTGGATTCAATTTGGTTGTTTCTCTTATTGATTAAGCTACCTTGTGGTCTAGTAAGGCTTTGGCCACAATAAACAAACCAAGATAGCTTCTAAGAAATCCACTGTCCTTTGATTTGATCCATCACAGTGCTTATTTTGAAAAGCTCTAGTTTAACATGAGGATAATATTTAGATAGCCACACGTATGGATAAGCACATATTAGAAAGGAATTCCCTGCTGCTGGTTTATCCTAATTAATATAGGTTGCCTTCTTGAATTTATACACAGATTACATTTTCTGATGATTTATACCTGGCTTTATTTTAGGAAAACTTCACTTGTTTTTTCTCCCTGGAAGAAAAGAAATTTATTATGCATTGATTTAACCTTAGGCCAAGATTGGGAATGTTTTATTTCCAAAATGGAACTTAGATAATATAGAAATAGTAGGGAGGGCAGAGGATGTTTTGATGGTGAGTTGTTCCATCTAATGATCAAAGAAAGGAGCTACTCTTGATTAAAAGAGATTAATTACCGAAATTCCTTTGCTGGCTTTTCCTTCCACGTAACTGCAGCTTCCTTCAACTGCCTTGGTAGAAAAGGGGATTCCACAGAGGACCCTCCATTCATACCAATGCCCTGGTGGGTGAATTCTTGTTCTGTCAGAACTTACTATCAGGAGTAATAAAAATTAGGTTGAATCTGTGAAAACATTGCTTCTAAGGTAGTCCAGCTGAGTAGGAGTAATCCTAGTTTGGGGACACAAGAGCAGTGGCTCTTGAAGATGATTTTGGCTCTAGTGATTACCTTCATGCTTCCTTTCTGGGGATTGCATTTCAGTTCCAGAAATTCTTCATTGTAGCTTCAAAGCTGCTGAAACCTGGTTAACATTTTTGTTCTTGTGAATCCATTTGAGGAAATAAAAAGAGCTTTAAAATAACTTCACGAAGAAGGATCACATACCTATTTTTTGAGGGAAGGATTGTGTTAAAAAATTTTTTGTTAATGATGTCAGCTATATTGGGTTTTTTGAGTCATGGAAGTGTGTTTTGAGTTCCACTCTGGGGACAAAGGGCTAATATCTGTAATCTGTTACTTCAACAAAACAGCTTCAGTATAGGGAGTCTACAGTTTGAAAGTCCTGTGTAGGGTGGGGCTATTGAAAGAAGACCCTCCCTCTCCCATAAGAGGTAAGGTGACCTCATGTCTTGAACTATACATTTCCTTCCTGACACATTTCAAGCTCTTCCTGTTCCTGTTCTCAGCAGCAGGGTGGTGTTACTGCTGTCCAGTTGCAGACTGAGGCCCAGGTGGCATCCGCCTCAGGCCAGCAAGTCCAGACCCTCCAGGTAGTGGTGCCCTCTCTGATTCTCTGTAAGCACTGCATGAACTTCTCCTCTCCTCATGTTTGGTGCTTTGTGGTAGGATCTCATGGAGAAATGGCAAAGTCAGTTGCATGTCTTTGATGCTGCTAACTTGTCTTTGAGGCTTAGAAGATGCCAGTTTCCTAATGTTTCATGCTAAATCATGTAGTGACCCCAGTATCAATTTTCTGAAAAGTGCCGTTTGGCTAATGTTTCTTTGGGAATGTCTGGGAAAGAATCAGTATAAGGGACAGGAAGAAATTCTTACAAGTGGCATTAGAACCTATTTAGAGACAAAACTGTAATAAGATTGCATGGTAACTTTTCTTGAGTTTGTATTATGATAGTGGAGAAGAAAATATGTACATTTTACTAGGGTAGATTGTGCTTTATTTTTATTAAAAGGACAACTTGGCTGTCCTGTCCTGCAATAATGATTGCACTTGACAAGATTGACCTAATCTCTGAATCTTGTTAATCTCGTAACTGCTATCTTTTCATTACCTTTCTTGGGGAAATAATGACTTGTCTTATTGTTAGATCTGCAGAGATTGCCCCATAGCTCTTGGACAGAGGTGGGATATGCTTTCTGTAAGTCTTAAGTATTATAGCCACCATAAGAATTCCTACTTAAACAATGCAGTTTCCTAACATTATGTATGACCAAGTTAAATATGTAAATTGGGGTTATATTTTGGCCGGTTCCTATATAAAGATAAGTGAAGAAGCATAAGTCTTTTCTGAGTTTATAGGTTACTTTAACTAAAATGACCATATTTTTGAGAAATTGACAAGATTTGAGTACCCTGCCTCTTCCCCTGCATTGAATGGAAATGATTCAGAGTAGGACCTAGAATGTAAAACTGGCATCTCACTTTATTATTAGTGCTGCTTAGCAAGTACCCTGCAGTGAACTACCCCTTACTGTAATCATTTCACTTTACCCTTTCAGCCCCACTCCCAAACCTGCCACTCATAGTGTTTGATGATGATGTACAGCCAATTCTGCACATAAATTAAGCTGAAATAAGCTGAGCTCATAGGTACTCCCAAACTATATTCAAATCTCAGTTCAGCAGTTTGTTATTCATGTTTTTCATGCTTGCTTCATCTTATTGAAATATAAAACAGTACTGTCATTAACCGCTTGTGGAATGGGAATGTAACATGCTCTTAACTGTATGGCTTCTTGTCTGATGCATGTATGCTTGTATTCATTTATATGTTGTAAAAACAGTGGGTTCCTTGAGTCTCAAATAGTTCATCATGTGCATATATAGGGAAAAGTGTGTCAATGAAGGGAAAAGTTAAGATGATGGATAGCCAGAAAATTACTAATAGCTGTGCCTTAAAACTTGTGTTTCCTACTTAGGCAGATTTTATTTAAAGAAATGGAGGTACTTTATGAAAATAATGGAAACCTTTCCTCTAGCGCTCTCACTATTTTGGAGAATTTTAAATATTTCTTTCAGTTAGTCATGCAATAAATATTCTGGAAAGTCTTTCCTCATAGAGCATATGCAAGTCTTTAAAAAGTAAAGTGGAATTTCTCAATGAGCAGTTTAACAAAATAGAGGATTTGAATGTTCCTAAAGATTATGATATGCTTGGGGGTGGGGGGAGGCTTAATATCTAATCTACTAATCTAGGACAGATCGGTCTTTTAACTAATTCCTCTTATTTGAACATACTTTCACTAGCATTAAGAATGATTATTTCAGATATACGGATTTTCTTTTGATCTGTTACAAATAATTCCCCAAAACAAAGATAGAAAGTTTGGGCTTTTAGCTATTCTATTGAACTAAAGTGGCTTATTTTTTGGCTTTCAGAATGCAGTTGGCTAGATATTTTTATACTGAGACTCAAGATGTCACAGAGCACGTACAATGCCCCGGCTTCTAGAGTAATCCATTTACTCATTGGAGCTTGAAAGTTGGGAGTTTTTGGTGCACTTGAGTGCTTTGTATAATTTTCATATTTGTTAAAGCTAAAATAACTATGCAGGTATTGCAGGGTCCAGTGTGAGAAGTTCCACCACAGAGATTGCAAACTGACCAGCAATATATTTCTAGGCATTTTTGCTAGTGGGCTCCTTGAACAACCACAGGATTAGAATTCTCAGTGAGGTGAAGAGGGTAAAAGATATATGTTTCATTTATGCTTGAGAAACTGTAGGGAGGAAGGGCATTCTCTATAAGCTCCCAGAGCTGCTCACTACCTAACCTGGAGTGGTTGCTAGGTTCAGTTTGATTTACTCCTTACAAGTTACTTAGAATTTATTTGCAGTCAACCACCATCCCCACCATCAGCCCTCCCTCTCATTGCCTCCTCTCCAGCCTTCACTAGAGACTATTCCTGGATATTGGTCTAAAAACAAAAATAGCCTTGATGATTTGATTAAATACTTCTCATGGGTTTAGCCTGTATTTGATGATAAATGCCTTCTATCTATTGAGACTTCCCAAAGACTCTGCTTATTCTCCATTATATCTGACCTTAAAGTATTCAGCTTGGCATTTAGTCAAAGATAACTATTTTCGAAGAAGACTACTTGAGGATGAGGACTTGAGACTTATTTTCTTAGTGTCTCTCCTACTTTCTCCTCCTCTAGCGAGGCAGCAGAGTAGATGCAGTGATTGTCTTTTGGTAAAAACCATTTTGTGTCTTATGTTATTTCATTGTTCTTATTTTACTTTATTTTAGGTCCAGGGGCAGCCATTAATGGTACAAGTCAGTGGAGGCCAGTTAATCACATCAACTGGCCAACCCATCATGGTCCAGGCTGTTCCTGGTGGACAAGGTCAAACCATCATGCAAGTACCTGTATCTGGGACACAGGGTTTGCAGCAGGTGAGTGGTATTTTTAAAAATGTTTAGACAGAATAATAGGATACAGGTTTTACGAAATAGGTTGTTGCAAACTGAAAATTGATATTGCACTTAATTGTTTCTTACCTTCTGTTCGCATTTAGTCGATTTCCCACCTTTGTAGTGTCAGTGATATAAAGCAGAGCTATACAGAAATTGGACATCTCTGGTAAGGGCTAAGATATTAGACGTGATCTCAAATCAATGTAAAGAATATAAAAAGAATCTAGTTTAATAAAAGTAATTCATTGGTGTGATCTCAGTTGGCACTTCTGGGCACTGGGGGAGGGAATTTTATAGTCTTCATTTCCTTCCATGTAATTTATAACTTGAGTTATCTAGGAAGTGATGGAAATATTTCAGTTCAGACCTATCGCACACACCTCACGCTGTACTTAGAGCAAAATTTATAAACTTAAATATTTTAAAAGAACTGCAAATAAACAATGGTATTTCTCTTAGAAAGTTAGGAAAAGAACAAAATGGGCAAAAGATTGGTTAAAATTAATGAAGTAGAAAACCAACAAATGTAGAAAAGTAAATATAAAAGCTGATTCCTTAAACAGACATATAGTTAGGTAAATCCACTGGAAAGACTGATTCAGAAACAGAAAACAAAAGTAAACAGGACACACAACTCTGTGGCATCAAATTTTTAGAGGGATTTTTATCTTGTTGGCAAAAATTTTAAACAGTAATTATATCCAGTGCTAGAATGGGTGTGAAGAAAATGAAACACCAATTATTTTTGGTAATTTTCAAATTCTAAAGCCATTTTGGAAAGGTATCTCACTCTTAAATACATAAACCTTTTGATCTACCTGTCCTGCTTCTGAGAATCTATTCTATAGGAACAAAAGCATCAATATGTAGGGAGAAATATACAAAGACATTTGTACATGCAGCATTCTACTAGCAAAAATAAAAAATAAAAAGTTGTAGCCTGAGTGTCTGTTAATAAGGATAAAGAAATGGTTGAATACATCATACTATATTCATATGGAGTGTTCTGTCCTTGTTAAAAAGGATGAACTATTGACTTTGGGTGAGGGGTTAATATTGAAGTGTTGTTAGTGAGAAATAATTTGCAGAGAAGTATATACTTAAGTCATCTCACCTTTGTAATTAATAGCTAAATCCCAATGAGTATACATGTTTATGAACTTTTTACTAAAATTTTCTAAAGCTGTTTATATCTTTAATTTGTTTTAACAGTTACAATTATTTCATTAATGTCTTCATTTTTCTGGAGGAATGTAATATAAGTTGAAAGAATTTGGCTATGCTTGATAAATCAAACTTTTAAGTTTGGCATATTCCCTTATAGTCTTGTGCACACCTTTCAGACATAGCTATACACATGCATGTAGTTTTCATTGTTGTGTGTTTGGTGTTTTTGTTTGTTTTACTTTGCTTTTTTTTCCCCCACATGATTTTCTTATCATTTTTAATTCCTTCATAATGGTCAATTTGATGAATCAGAATTTCTAATTTACAAAGTGTATTTAGGGATTTTTGTTTTATTTTTCTTTTTTTGCTTTTATAGGTAAGATTACTATAATGTATTTGAATTTTATAGCTTTATTTTTTCAGTTGAATTTAATCTTATGGTAATTTCTTTGGAGTGGAAGAATTGGTTGGGCAAAGGGTAAGATCATTTTTAAGGCTATTGGCATATTTTTGCCAAGATAGAGTTTTAGTTAGGATTAAAAATAGTTTCCATGTTTCTCCATGCATAAATGTGTGAACCTTTAAATATATTTTAGTGTGTGTACTTGCCTCAGTTTCACACTGCTGTTTCATTTCTGTCCTTGCTGTCATTGCCTCGTCTCCAACCCCCCCCTTGCCACTCCCTCTTCTCTGTTGAACAGAAATAGTGTGATTCAGTGCTAGGAACATTGTACCACGAGTGCGATGACCTGACTTCATTCACAGGTCTGCCATTAAACAAACTTTCTGATCTTGGCCAAGTCATTTGAGTGTCAGTTTTCTCATTTGAAAATGCAGTTTATATCAGGTGATTGCTAGGGTTCATTTCAGCTCTAAATTCTGTGATTTTTCAGCTCTAAATTTTGGGATTTTTTTTTTGGCCTTTAAGAGACATTGAAATGGTTATTTTATTCCCCTCCCTCCAAGCAGGACTGTAACTAATCAAACTATCTTGGAAAATTTATTTTCTGTTAATGTTATATTATATGGCTCTAGGTAAGATCCCATAGCCTCCCTTAGAATGCTTAAAATTTCAATCCATTTTTATTAGAGGTTGCTTTAGTGTTTTTTGAATAACCGTGTCTTTTAGAAGTGTACTTAACCTTTTTTTGGATTGCATCTTCTGTTTTAGAATTCCAGTGAAACCTATGCTCTCAGATCAATATCCCTGGCTTGATATAGACAATGGAACTAAAGTAGAGAGCCAAAAAATAGATGCAAGAATATTGGAAATAGGTATATAACAAAAATAGTATAAAGTCTCAGTGAAGAAATGGTTTAAGAATGATATCAAAAAAGAAAATTGATCTCTACCTCATGCTATATCAAAAATACTTGCTAGACAGATTACAAATCTAAATGGAAAAAAGCATACTTGGAAACTTTTATATTCTCTTTACAGGAATATTTTCTTTATGCTGTGGGGTAGAGAAGGATTTCTTACAGACACAAAAAAATTGATTTGACTACTTTAAAATAAAAACTTGTCTACATCAAAATATATCATAAAACAAAGGTAGAAGACAAAATTTGGAGAAGGTATTTTTAACACTTAACTGGGTTCGTATCCAGAATACATTAAAAAAAATTTTTTTTATGTATTGATATGAAAATAACAATCCAGTAGAAAAATGGGCAAAGAATATGAATAGATAGAAGAGGAAACCCTGTTGACCAGTAACACGTATTCCTTGCTATCCAAAACAGGTAGAAAAAGATCCAGATAACCGGATAAATTTCTTTACTTGTTTATTTACCAACACTTTCTAATTTAATTTGTTAAATCTCAGTGTTGACTGCAGGGATGTCTAATATGATAGTCTCAACCTTTCTGTACAAAATCTTTTAAGGATTTTGTATATGCATATTTATAGAATCCCAGTTGGAAAAATTAGGAATTACTTAATTTTTTTTCAATATGTTATTATAAAAAACTTCAAACAGACAAAAACAAAGAGAATGGTATGGTGAATCCTCATCACCCATTTTAACACACAAACTAGTATTATGTTTAAGTAAATCCATTTTCATCTGTATTCCCCTACTCAAGAGTTATTTTGAATATATGAGGTACCATTTCATCTGTTAAAAATATGGTATATTAGGTATATTTAGGGTATATTTTTAAATGAACATGCTTTTAAAAATATATACGCATGCCAGCCCATCATCGTTTTAAAAACTGACATTGATTCCTTAATATCATCCAGTATCTAGACAGTGTTCAGAATTCCCCCATTGTTTCATAAATGGAAAACAGGTTATCTCTAATTCATAATAGAGCAAAACAGGACTTCATTTTTTTCCTCTTTAGGGCATTCCCTGCCTTCTAGAGGAATTTGGGTAACTAACCCTCCAAAACCATAGGAGACCAGTGTCAGCAGGATACTAATCTTTTATGTTCTGTTCCGCAGATACAGTTGGTCCCACCTGGACAGATCCAGATCCAGGGTGGGCAGGCTGTGCAGGTACAGGGCCAGCAGGGCCAGACCCAGCAAATCATCATCCAGCAGCCCCAGACAGCCGTCACTGCTGGCCAGACGCAGGTAATTCCACTGTCCACTGTGTCAACAGAGGAGCACAGCTGCTTTGGGAGGGTTTGACAACTGAGTCAGATATTTCACATGTAGTAGAAATGGGGAAGAAAACCATCCAAAAAATTTCTTTTTCTTAAAAAGGACTACATAGTCCTTTTCTTTTTGGTGTCTTTGGAATCCGTTAAATTGTGGCATTATTTATTTCCTACAGACGCAACAGCAGATTGCTGTCCAGGGGCAGCAAGTGGCACAAACTGCCGAAGGGCAGACCATTGTCTATCAGCCAGTTAATGCAGATGGCACCATTCTCCAGCAAGGTACGTGTGCCCATCATTTCTGTGGCACTTTCGGGGGCATCCTTTTTATCTTGAGCAAATGACTGCTTTAGAAATTTTGTGGTGACCTCTATACCACATATTTTTGAAAAACAACAAAATTTCCTCTAAGTCTCCGTTGATTGTTAGTTCCTTGTCACTAATATGCGACCAATGTTGATTCCGTTTGTAGAACTACAGTGCTTGTTAAAGACAACCACTAGGACCCTAAAGATTATATAAGCTTTTTATTCTTTCTGGGAAGAAATGTTTTCTAAATAGAAGTTTAGAAATACGGAGTTTCTTTAGTGGTAGAGACATACATCATAAGTCAAGTTGGCGTTTATTGCTATTGCTGCTTTTTTTTTTTCCTGGGCCACTTCATTATTAATTTATTCCGAAAAGACTTATATGCCCACTGTGTATATGTAGCACATTACTAAAGTAGTTTTCTTCTCAAAGACCCTCTAGTCTAGTAAGTGAGACATGCAAGTGACCACATAAGCACAGTGCATAGCCCTTATTAGAGGTGTGTATTCTATGACTAAAGGTTTGACATGTGATTAAAATTTGGCAGTATACAAGATCCAGTGAGTGCAGTAAGTGTGCTCTCCCATGACTCGGGCCTGAACTGGCAGGAGCTCAGAGAATGATGAACAAATTCTCAAGTGCTGCTGTTGATAGCTTGGGGGCTTGGAGTACCTGGTTTAATTGGAAGTTTTAGTCCTGCAGCTGTTTGACTCATTGTCAATTTAGGGTAAACAAATTAAAAGTTTATAAAAATCTTCATCCTGAAGCACGTTATTCATATATATAAGAACAGTTGATATAGCTGGAGTCATACTGACCCATAGAAAGGGAAGCCTCCAAACTTTTTAGTCACCCATTGAAAACTATTATTGGAATACCCAGGGAATTATCCATTTCAAGGGTAGTTTTATTCAGAACTGGAACCCAGATAGTTAATAGAATTTCTAAGATTGTGATTACTTGGATTATATACAGCAAACCAGGGAGAGAATGGAGGAGAGCTTTTTTTCCCCTTGTCCTATTGAGTATGTTTTTCCAGGGTGAGTAAGTGTGCGCCACATAGAAGAGGGACTAACTGTGTTCCCTCCTTTCTGTGTACCTGTTTTTTGTTTGTTTTATGTTTTATTTTCTTAAAGTTACAGTCCCTGTTTCAGGCATGATCACCATCCCTGCAGCCAGTTTGGCAGGAGCACAGATTGTTCAGACCGGAGCCAATACCAACACAACCAGCAGTGGGCAAGGGACTGTCACTGTGACACTACCAGTGGCAGGCAATGTGGTCAATTCAGGAGGGATGGTCATGGTAAGAAAATTGATTTTTCATTTCACTGTTCTCATCTGTAATTTGTTTCTCCATGTATCTTTGTCTTTGAAAATTTCTTCAACTTGCAATTTGATATCTCTCATAAAGCTTGTTTATAATGCTGACCTCTTGGGACTGCGATTAATCCCTTAAGACACTTACAGAGATCTACTTTTTCAATAAGCATTACAACAAACCATAATTCATTCTGAGCACCTACTATGTGCCAGAGACTATTCTAGGTGCTAGAGATATAGCAGAAGGTAAACAGATGTATTTGCTTTTCTGTAATCTTATTCATAATTCAAATAATGAAGGGAGATGCAAACTACTAATCTTCGGGAAGTGGAAAGTATATTGCCCAGAGTGGGTAAAATAAGAAGTAAGTTCAAAATTAGAAAGATTGTAATCAATAGAGAAACCGAAAACTGTGATGTAAATATATTGGGAAGATAGGGAAGGAGAGTTGGGTGGTGTGAGTGAAAGCTAAATCCTCATATATGTCAAAATAGGGTGTCAGTATACAGTACCTAAAATGGATAAATTAAGAATGAGTAGTAGAAACCTGCACAGAAGTAGAGGAACTACCAGAAAAAACAATACAACCATTCAAAGTTGGGGTGTTACAGTTGGGAAGGTAGTGGGGCACGGGAGCCCGTTACTTGTTTCCTCATACATTTAGTACAGTGTTTTGTTTTTGTTTGTTTAGGAAAATATGGGTTGAATTATATAGTAAGTTAACAATTTAATTAAATTATTTATATAACTAAAAGCATTTAGTAGCGCTTGGTCAATGTGAACCTATGTTCCTTCGTGTTTTCCTTGTGCTCTTTTATTGCCTTACGATTACCGTTCATGACCATTAGATGGCAGCAGACATTCCTAGAAAATGGAGCAGTTGTGTGGACAAAAATTTGGACGTGGTTGTGTCATTTCTTAGTATGGCTCCTTGGCCCCTATTACAGAATCATCTGGAATGTTTGTTGAAAATGCAGGCCTTCATCATCAAAAAATCTACAAACAATAAATGCTGGATGGGGTGTGGAGAAAAGGGAACCCTCACGCACTGTTGGTGGGAATGTAAATTGGTACAGCCACTATGGAGAATAGTATGGAGGTTCCTTAAAAAAACTAAAAATAGAACTACCATACCACCCAGCAGTCCCACTACTGGGTATATATACCCTGAGAAAACCATAATTCAAAAAAGAGTCATGTACCATAATGTTGACTGCAGCTCTATTTATAATAGCTAGGACATGGAAGCAACCTAAGTGTCCATCAACAGATGAATAGATAAAGAAGATGTGGCACATATATACCATGGAATATTACTCAGCCATAAAAGGAAACGAAATTGAGTTATTTGTAGTGAGGTGGATGGACCTAGAGTCTGTCATACCGAGGGAAGTAAGTCAGAAAGAGAAAAACAAATACCGTGTGCTAACACATATATATGGAATCTAAGAGAGAAAAAAGAAAAAAAGGTCATGAACCTAGGGGCAGGACGGGAGGAGAAGAGGGAAGAGATACGGGAACATGTATATGCTTAGCTGATTCACTTTGTTATAAAGCAGAAACTAACACACCATTGTACAGCAATTATACTCCAATAAAGATGTTAACACATATATATGGAATCTAAAAAAAAAGGTCATGAACCTAGGGGCAGGACGGGAATAAAGATGCAGACCTACTAGAGAATGGACTTGCGGACGTGGGGAGGGGGAAGGGTAAGCTGAGACGAAGTGAGAGAGTGGCATGTACATATATACACTGCCAAATGTAAAACCGATAGCCAGTGGGAAGCAGCCGCATAGCACAGGGAGATCAGCTCAGTGCTTTGTGACCACCTAGAGGGGTGAGATAGGGAGGATGGGAGGGAGACGCAAGAGGGAAGAGATATGGGGATATACGTATATGTGTAGCTGATTCACTTTGTTATAAAGCATTATAAAGCAATTTTACTCCAATAAAGATGTTAAAAAAAAATAAAATAAAATGCAGGCCTTTGGTGTAAATGTTCTCCAAGAATCTGCATTTAACTAAGTGTCCTATAAAAGCTGCTTTTTGTAGCATTCAGAAGAAAACTAATAGGGACCAATAAACTGTCTCCCATGTCCATACTTCATGTCACTAGTTAATAAGCTCTGATTTTCTTTTCACACAGATGGTACCTGGTGCTGGCTCTGTGCCTGCTATCCAGAGAATCCCTCTCCCTGGGGCAGAGATGCTTGAAGAAGAGCCTCTCTATGTGAATGCCAAACAGTACCACCGTATACTTAAGAGGAGGCAAGCCCGGGCTAAATTAGAGGCAGAAGGGAAAATTCCAAAGGAAAGAAGGGTATGTATAACACTGGGAAGGATACAGGATGAGAACGGCAGGGTTCTACTTCTGAAATTACCTTTTATGTAGTTTGTTTCCTTGAGTACCTTCCAAACATTGAAGTTAGATAGCTGTTACCTTTTGTAAAAGCATTTATTATTGCTATATGGAGCTGCAACTACAATATTTAAAATATAACTATGACATAAATAGGGTGTTTTTTTAATCTTACATAAAAGAAGTCCAGAGATAAATTGTCTTGGGCTGTGGTAGCACATTTCCAGTCCTCAAGACCCATTCTCCTCCTTTCTTACCGTCCTGATATTCTTAGTATGCTGTCCATAGTCCAAGAAGACTGTCTGGGCTCTAGCCTAGGAACAAAGGGAATAAGAAAGGCATTCTTTCAAGGAAACATTCAAGAAGTTCCATGCATCTCATTAGCCAAAATTTAATTACATGACCACACTTAACTGCAAATAAGTATAGGAAATGCAGTCTTTTTACTGAGCAGCCAGCTAAAATTTGGTCTGTTATTAAAGTGAAAGAGAGGATATATATTGGGAGGTAGGTAGTGATCTCTCTTATATCTTTGGGGAATCTTTATTTAGTTATTACTCATTTGGCATTTACATTCTTATGATAGTTAGATATGGTTAGCTGCTGTTTGTGTTTTCTCCAAAGATGTCTCCATAATACAAGGTCATAATTGCCCCGGTGGCTTTGATCACAGCTGTCCTAAACTTCTGAGCATTAGACAGCTATGCTAGTTTCAGCTACTAGTTTTATTTTTCTTATTTTAGAAATACCTGCATGAGTCTCGGCACCGTCATGCCATGGCACGGAAGCGTGGTGAAGGTGGACGATTTTTCTCTCCAAAGGAAAAAGATAGTCCCCACATGCAGGTAAGAAGATTTATACCTTTTATTCTTCTCTTTACTGCCTTGTATTTTCTTGGCTGGAAGCCTTTGCGTTGTCCTCCTGATATTTTCAAACTAGGGACTAATCAGTCTCTAAACTAGATGCAACATTGTGTGTCTTAGAGCCCTTTTCACCTTAAAAGAACTAAGGTCTTTAATCAGTGGCCTTTTTTCCTTCCAGTCTTTGCCAGTTATCACTATTAACTCCTTCTTGAAATTCTCACTTTTCTTGATTTTCAAAGAACAAGTTTGTTTCTTAGTGTAGTAGCAGTAGCAGCAGCAGCAGCTAACACTTAACTGCTGTGTGCCAGCCATTATGTTAAGCACTTTTCTTTTGTAAGCATTTTTTCATTGAATCTTTACAACAAGCTCAAGCCCCATGAGGTAAGAATTATAGTTTCCCTTTTACATTTGAATCTGAGGTTTAGAGGGGTTAAGTCATTTGCCTAAGGTAAAATATTTAATAAAATGGTGCAACCGAAATTCATACCTAGGCAGTGTAATTCCAGAACTTAGTCTGTAACCATACTGGTTCTTACATCTAATTTCACTGATTGTATCTTATTGGCATTTCTAGTCAATATGTCCAAAATAGAACTGTTGGTTTTTATTTTATTTTTTTATGCCTAAACCAGACACTCATCTCAACAAGTGACATGTCCATTCACCCAGTTATTAAAGCTACAATTGTCCAATTCTTGAAGTCCTCTTGGTTTTAACTCTAAAATATACTCTGAATCAGCTTACTTTTTTCCCTCGTAACTGCTGTCAGCCTGGTCTAACCTGCTCTTCTTTGCTTCAGTTATTACAGCAGCTGCCTAGTCTCCCTTCTTCCCCTCTTGTGCCCCTCTAGTTCACTCTCCACATCTTCGTGTAATCTTTCTAAACGTGTATCATATCACATCACCATCCTGCTTAAATCCCTTCTACTCCCACCCTTTTCCATTTGCACTCAGACTAAAATACAGAGTTCTTACCATGGCCAGCAAGGCCCTGCATGATCTAGCTCCTGCCCACTTCTGGCTTTGTTTCCTCCTGCTGCTTGGTCTTTATGCTCTTGCTGTAGTGTTCAGGAACCTTTGTCTTCAAAGTAGCTGGTCTGTAAAGCTTTTCACGCCCTCTTTTGCTTGGCTATCTCCTTCTTTTAGGTCTTGGTTTAAATCTGAGAGGCCATATCCAGAGGTCTCTTCTACCCCATTATTTTCTCACATCTTCCTTTTCTTTTGAGTGCAATATTGATAATAATCATATTGTTTTATTTGTGTGATCGTGCAGTAGTTGTCTCCTTCACTAGACTGTAAGCTGTGTAGAAAGTCGAGGATTGTTGTTCTCGATTGTACTTAACATGATGCCCATTTAAGAATAAGCACTCAGTAAATGTTTGTTGAATTAATGGATTCCTCCCATTTACTGATGCTTTATTCTGTATACCCATCACATCCCACCTGCACTACTGTCAAATCTGTCTTTATAAGATGGTGCTTTCTTAATCATGTCAGTCCCGTGCTCAAGGATGCATGCTAGTTGCTCATTGCTTTCTGCAGCAGATCTCAGACTATTTCTGTAAGTTACTTAGCCTCACTTTCTTCACCAGTAAAGTGGGATGCTGTTGATACTTTATAGGAATGTTGGGATTTCATGCAGTAAGTCACATTAGGCACCTGTTTAGCACAGTGCTTAGTGCATGGTGAGAGCTCAGTAGAGGCTGGTTATTGAGGCTTACTGATCAAGACCCAGCCTCTGGTCCTACCACCTCCAGAAATGTTTCAGCTTTTTCTTGGATCACAGCAGTTGAGGCTTCAGAGTGTTGGTGTGGAGGAACTGAAGGTGGTTATTGTGGAGTGTTGCAAAAAGCTTCCAAGGACTGATCCCCTCCCCCCTTTTTTTGCCACACTGCACGGCTTACAGGATCTTAGTTCCCCGACCAGGGATTGAACCCAGGCCGTGGCAGTGAAAGCGCCAGATCCTAGCCACTGGACCACCAGGGAACTCCCAAGGGCTGTTCCTTGTCTTAACACTGCAGGTTTTTTGTAAAAGGCAGGCAGTAGGCAGAGTTTAATGGAAAGAAGATTAAATCGGAGCCAAGAGATTTGGGAGTTAGTTCTTGCTGGGCTCCTCACTGACTTTTTGACTCTAGTCCAGGCAAATCACTTCACCCATCCAGGCTTCAGGTTTATCTACAAAATGAGTGCATTAAAGTAAATAAATTCCGGCGTCCTTTCCAGCCCTGCTAAGTGCTCAGTATTTAAATATGATCAGAAAATATACAACATGACTTGGTTTCTCTGGGTCTTTTTCTTAGCCACCTAAGGACCCTAATCCTTAAGCATAGAGCACAGCATAGGTGCTTAGAAAAGAGAGATACTCTCAACTCCGGAGTGTTTATTAATGGAATGCCAGGCCAGACTTGGAATCTTTTTAAGAATGAGGTGTATTGTCTCTTCTTTGCTAATGGAGCTGCGTTTCAATCCGTGTGTGCAGACTTAGATACATCACAAGCCTTTGGTTTACTTAGTTTGTGTATTTCCCTTGGTGATAAGTAGTGAGCGCCATGAGTTCCCAGTTCTTTTGCAAAGGACTTTAATTGTTATGCTTTCTTTGTAGGATCCAAATCAAGCAGATGAAGAGGCTATGACACAGATCATCCGAGTGTCCTAACCCCAGGCCATGTGATGGAACTGATCAAGGTCATGTTCCTCTCACTGTTTCCCACTGTTCCAAGGAAACTGATCACCTCTTCCAATGGGACACTGACGATTACATTCTGCCCTTTTCTACAGGACAGAAACCACTTAGTTTTTAATAAGTGGCTTAGTATTATAATTGCAAGGATGTCTGGCAAATAGAAGTTGCAAGCCTTTGACTCACCCTTTCAGTCAGGACTTATTTCAGACTGTTGTTGACATTGACATTTCATGGATTGGGATGATGCAGGGGACCCATGCCAGCCCAGCAGTACCACACCTAGCACTTAATGTTGACTGGTAATGCCAGCCAGCCATCTCAGCAGAGGAGAACGACCTTCTCAACCTAAACTGCAGTCAGGGAAGCTGCAGCCCGCTCCTTCCCATGGATTCCAAACAGCACCCATCCCTCTGATGGGGGATCTCAGGCTGACTAATGGACACTTTGTATTCAGAGATGGTTTCCAGGCAAGGAAGCGTCATCTCATGATATGGAAACAATAAATTCTCTGAGATACATTCGTCTAATCTGTGGTAATAATAAGAATCCCTTCTACCCAGATGATAGGTTGGTATCTTTGGACTCCAGCCAAGAAGAAGCTCACTCTGGGGATAGACTCTGATCAAAGACTCAGGCACTAAAAACATAGCTGAATCTCTTAGCTTTGACAAGTTGTGGTCTGCTTGTCTGTCGACAGGTCATATGGACTGTAGTTCTTGCTGTGGTTACTTTTAAGACAATTTAGAGTGTGCTGGACCTTGACACTGCCTTTCCTAAGTAGAGAACAAAATTATAGAACTTCTGTGCCGAAGTGCTGAGGACATTTGTAGTAACTCCTTAACAGAGCAGAATTAGAGATTTTCAATCACAGGCTTTGTGACAGCATTTGGGGAATAGAAAGGTTCATGTTTGTTTCAGTCTAGAAGGACAAAGTGTAGTATATATACTCTGATGTTGTCATAGCACGATTCACCAGTGGATGGATGCCTGGGATGGATCATTAAGATGAAGAGAATAATTTACGTTTATACTATAACCTTTTAACAAGCACGGAAAGGGGAAAGTCTGAGATTTGGTCCTTGACAATTTCTGGAAAGCACTGTTCAATCAAGCTATCCTGGACATAGTCCAGGTTTGCCTGCTAGAGCTTGAGATGTATGTTGGCTTCAATCCTGCGCTTTGTGCTGGCCCTGGAGAGCGAACATTCTCATTCTTCCCATGGCAGCTGATTCTTTGGTGCCAGTTTCCGTTTGTTTCCCCTTTTCTCCATAGGCATTGTGCGGAAAGGTTTTCACATTGCATCCACGTTCTGGGGATAAACTGCGGACTAGAAATAAAGATTCCTGCAGGGTCAGGAACAGGGCCACAACTCCCAGAGTGGGTTGTGCCTCAGTAATCTGTTTCTTTTCTAAACGTGGAACCCTGGGAGAACTAAGATGATATTTCAGAAGAGTTGCTGTTTTCTTGGAAACAAAGAAGGAAAACATAATCCTTTTGAAGAACATTTGGGTTTGATTTAAATACCAAGAGTAGAGATTGGCTCTTTCTTTGATTTCACTCTAGCTGTATTAAGAAGGAAAAGAAAGTAAACCCTCTAAAGAAAACATCACAAAGGGAAATCACTGTAATGGTACAAAATAGAGGTACAGAGCTATGCAAAGAAAGCAGGAAGTGAAGTATTTCCCTAGTCCCTTGAATCTAGTCATCTGTCCTGGCTTGCGGATGTTAGGCGGGGTTGACCTGTGGGCTCACTAGAAACTTCTGGCTCTTTATGCGAGTTTCAGGTGTTAACTTTATTCAGTAAGCCCCAAGTTCTTCAGATGATAGGTTACTAAAAACAATGAAGAGTTTATATCCTATGGTTTGTTTAGGAACCTTCAAGATGCAGAGTTCAGAAAGAAATTCCTCAGACCTAATTTCTAGTACTTAAGCCAACAACAGTTCTAAAATGCTATTTATTTGTGTCTGTAAGTTTGTACATAGTAATACCAACCTCATATTGTTGCGGATTTTTTTTTTCACGAGTTTGAGTTTGGTTTTATTTGAAATGCTTCAGTTGTCATTTTGTCATTGCCATTTCAGGTAGCTCATGACCCTTTTATTGTGGTCATTTTAGCACATAATAACCCACAAAGTGTGGGTGAGGTTTGGATTTTTTTGTTACTAGAAGTTCTTTTATTCATTTGTCCTTGTGACTGTAGTGATGGCTTCATGGATGCAAAAAGAGTGAATGGATGAGTGAATAACTGGTTTAATGCATAGTTCACTTCTTGAGTGCTTTTTTTTGCAGGATAATTGTAAATATATATTTTAATTGCACTGGTACATTGAACATGTCAGTGTCTATACCACTGGACCAACAAGCATTTTTCTGGCTAATGGGTGCCTGATAATAATGTCTTGATTTTCCTTTGGGACTCAACTATACAGAAGGTTTTTTCCCTCGGCTGTAGGGGGAGCACAGGTGATTGATCATTGATGTCATTTCAATTGTTATTTTTTAAAATAAATTTATAAAATGCTTTAAAAGTGTCTTGGATTTTGAGGAGTCTACATCCCCTGGGTTCTGGGTTGTGTTTATAATGCTGATACTGTGAACTCTGTAAACACGCATGTAAGCTCTGTGGACAGTGTGTCAAACTTGAGAGTGTCCAGCCTTTCAGCTGTGTCTCCCCTTGATCTCTTTTCCTTCCCTTTTGGCCCTCCCACCCTACTGAGGAAATATTTTCTGTCGCCTGTGGACTGATCATACATTTGGTCTTCCCACTGTAAGTGTTTCATGAAAACACGATGAATTAATTCCGTGAGTAAAATTAGCCCTTCAGTTACCAACAAAACAGCATTGTTACATGATATATTGTAGAACTGAAGATAGTAAAGATGTAATTTTTAGATTTATTTATGCAGAAAAACATAGATGCATTTCTGATTGTTAAAAATCCACAACATGCTCGTCCTTTTATTGCTTTGTGTTCACCAATCTGAGCCACAGACCGGCAGCCTCAAATGGGCCATTACCACACGGAAGTGTGAGAAAAAGGGCTCGGGGGGAGTGTACTCCCATGAGACCAAATGACCTGTCCTGGCAGACAACAGAAGTGGAATAAGTTCCCTAACAAGGAAAAAGACTTCCTGTGTTAAACGGCCTTAGTCTAACGGTGTTAAATTTAAAAACCATCCTGAGTTTGCTTTAGTCAGATGCCAATGGAACTTGTCCTTAGAAACTAATAGAGGAAAAGACCACCCTATTGACATTTATCCCAGGTAATCAGTTTTATCGTAAAAGCAGCTTCACGTTTGAGAGAGATTTTAAAACGTCAGGCTTTGCTCCTTCGAACGCGCCGCCCTGCCCTCCTTCCGCCCTTCCACCCCTCCACCCCCGGAATCCAGAGCAAGCGCAAAAGCTTTGAAAACAGGTGGGCGGGGCCCCAAGGAAGCCCGCACTGATTGGTTGGAGGGAGGGACCCGTCAGGGCCGTCATTGCGGATTGGCTACTACGCAGAGAAACGCTGTTACAGGTCGTTCGGCGAAAAATTTCGCCGCTGCCGTCGCCGCTATGGCGACGGGCAAGGGGGTGGCGACGCCGCCTCTGTGGCCAGTAGAGGCCCGGCTGGCGGCGCTGCTTCCAGACCTGCTGGTCTTCAGAAAGCCCCGGGGATCGGAACACGAGCTTGCCACGGCCCAGGGCGTCCTCCTTGGCGTCCACGTGACGGGTGAGGGCGAAGGGAGGTGCGTCGCTCTCCCGACCTGCCGGAGGGGCGGCCGTAGGGCCACAGCTGGTAGGGGCCGCGGCGGTTACGGGCCTGGCCCCGGGGCGAGCTAAAGGCACGGTTTCATTACACTTTCGCCGCCTCCGCCGGAACCTGAGGGTCATTTTCCGAGCAGGAGGACGCCTTTTCGGACGACCTGTCGTAGCCCTGGAGTTCACTTCCGCGATGATGAAATTGAGACTCAGAAAGGGGAAAGGACTTTTTCGGGGCCATATGGCAGGCTTTGGACCCAAGTTTTTCCCCAGTCCCGAGCATTTTCCGATAAGCATTCTGCTTCCTCCAGTGATTTTATTTGTTTAGTTATTTCCTTCTTTGGGCCCATAAGTAGGTGCCCGCCATTTTTCAAGTAGTTGAGACCTAGCAGCTACTATGAGAGTCGTTCATTTAACAGGTATTTGTGGAGTTTATGTGTCACGGATATGAAGATGAGTGATCCGGGTGCCTGTTCTCGGAGGAGCTCACCATATGAGCTCTCTACAAAGCTTTCATCCATTCTCCTTGTTAGTGGTTTCTCTATCCCTCACGTGGGTGGGGAGAGGGGAATCCTACACGTTCCCTTGGCCGGGGAGCCTTAAGAGAGTATGATGGGAAAGCAGTAGTAGCTGGATTCCAATGAAAAGGGCACTTGTGGGCGAATCTTCACCATCTGCAGCTTCTAGAAACATGGGGAGGGTGGCCCTCTGGACTCCCAGAGGCAGCAGCAGCAGCCAGCCTGGCCCTGAGTACTTGCTAAGTAACACCATGTTAAAAGGATAATGAAAGTACTCATCTTGAAAAGATCTGCTTCCGTTCCACTGGCCTGATGTGTGGAGGGCATAGAGCCTAAAAGTTTAGGATTTGCAGCTAACATAGTAATTTTTGCTTTGTTGGTCAGGGTTTACAGCATTAATGGACAGGTTCAGCCTGAGCTGCAAGTCGGAACATGACATGGACACACTGGCCCACATCTTCAGTTATTACATTAGTGACATCGTGGAGCGTGAGTGACCGTTGTAGGGGAGCAAGGAGGTGTGGTGATGGGCTCTTGAGGGTTTGTAACAGAAGGGGGCTCGGGGCCACTTTAAAACATACTAAAGTGACATCCCTTTAGTGTCACTCATCCTTTATTTCTGCAGATTGCCTCTGACGAGCTAGATCTTTGCCTGTATCTGCCGTTCTACCCAGTCGCACATCCTGTTGACTCGGTGTTCAGAAAGGGGGGAAAAATGCTGATTTGTACTTTGCATGTTTGTGTTTTATTTCAAAATGAAGTATTCCTCAGGTTGTGTCTTCCAACAGTAATAATGTGCCTCGTGTGTATATCAGATATAATTTACAGAACACCTTCCCATTGTATTACTGCATTTTGATCCTGTGAAGTAGGACTGAGTGTTTTATTTTCTGCCATGTATCAATACTAAGCTTGTGGATATTTGCCTAATCTGAGGGGGGAAAAAAAAAAAGCAAAACCTTTTCATTTGTACAGTAAACAGTACCTACTCTGTGACATAACAGTGTAATAGGAGCAGGGAGTGCAAAAACCTATTCTTCGAGGAGTTTTCAGTCTAGTTAGGTCTACCTAACAGAAATTACTCTGGCCCTATACCCTTTAGTACTAATATAACATTCCCTTCTTGTACTGACAATATCCTGTTATGTCCATCATTCTGAGATTCACCAGAATGATTACTTTGTGGCATCTTCTTTAGCCACGTAAAGTGGCTATGTGACTCACCCCTTACCCCTGAGGAACAAGTATAAAAAATATTTTGGGA